CTGCAGCTGTGGAGAAGGCGGGTAAGAACCACTTGTCATTCATACAGTGTTTGGCACAAGGCAAATCAGACTCGGTGGACTGAAATTTAAGATTATATTATTCTAGCATGTGCAGCTATCAGCTATAGGAACAGTGAACTTAAATTCAAAACCTTAAAAGACATCCCAGCTGGGATCCCATTCACTTGTACTCGTGTATAAATTGTCATTCACTCACCTTTGAGAAGCTCACGATTAAATCCCTGCACAGCCTCAACAAACAGTTAACGTGTGGCAAGTGATTTAGTGTTCATTTAGTGCTGTTTTCTCTTCCTTAATACGACCAGTGTATGGGGGTGTGGGTTTTGTTTGTTTTGGGGGTTTTTTTTCTCTTTACAATTTTGGCATCTGACCAGTGGAACAGGCTTTCCTCAGGGTTCTTATCACACTCATCAGGTTAAATAGCTTTTATAGCTGACGATTATTGTTACGTCCACCTATCATTGCTATGGTCATATGCTCACCTATAGTTTTATCTTTTGGTCTTGAAATACCCTTCAATCTTTAATCCCTCTGCAAAGGAATCACATTTAATCCAAGGAAACTTGGCAAACTCAGTGACACGATACCATGAACTGTGACGTTTTGCAGTCTTTAGACATTGTTGTACATAAACATCTGTACAAGTGTAGATATTCCACATGGAGCCAAGGCCCCCTCTTTTTGTCATTAGTGGAGTAGAACTCTTAAAGGGAGGAATTCTTAAAGGGAGGCTGTGAGTGAATTACTCTCTGATACAGTCATAAGGCAAAAATACCTCCTTTTAAATCCTGACTTTTCTGAACCATAGGTCTGACTCTGAATGACATCGATATATATGAAATCAATGAAGCCTTTGCAAGCCAGGTGAGTGAGCGTCATGTTTGAGTTGCTACATTGCTTGGCAGCTGAGTGTATTTCAGCTTGGTCTCAAAATTAAGATTTGAACTTGTTCCACTTACGACATCTTCAGCCCAATGTTAATAACATGCACAAACTATTTTCCCTTTCCTTCAAAGAAAAATAAGCTGCTTATACAGCTTAATATTTAAAAACAAAACAAAATAACAGAAAAACGTGTCCACTGAATAAGAATGTAATCTTTACTATTGTATCCTCATATCAACTTGCAAAATTTCTGTTTCATGAGGGCTGCCATTTGTTATCGGGTGGTGCCAGTGTGAATGTGTTGCAGTCACCAATTTGGAGGTCCTTAATGAAAGGTAGCAACTTCACTACTGTGGCCTCCACATATCTATGACATGCCTGTCAGAAAATACGTGGGCTTAGTTTGAGATGAAGCTGATAGGCTTAGCTCACTTTGTGTGCTTTGGATTTGTAATGTAGTTCCACTCCTTTCCACTGGGAAAGATAGTCTAGCTGGAGTCAGGCCTCTAAATACAAACTGTTTAATACTTTAAGAGCAGCTGACACAATGATGTGGAGTTTGTGTAATAACAAACATAGTTTGAGTTAAATTTATTTTAAGCACAACTCTTTTGAAGCCCCTAGAGCTGCCTAGGATGGTGTGCTGTCCCTCTTTATATATGGACGAGATCACCGGTCTTCTCTGCAGTCCTCTTAGCTCCCTATTGCAGGAGGGCTGAGAACTAACGGAGGTGAGGGCATCTCCACAAACACATTCCCTCTGTCTTTCTAGGCTGTGTACTGTGTTGAAAAGCTGGGCATTCCCATGGAGAAGGTCAACCCCCTGGGAGGAGCAATAGCACTGGGGCACCCACTAGGTTGTACTGGTGCTCGTCAAGTTGTCACTTTGCTCAATGAATTGAAGCGCAGAGGGAAAAGGTGAGCACTGCGGAACAGTGTTAGCCTTAATGCCTTAAATGTATGTAAGTAAGTAACTTAGGCTCAGAAGTAACCATCAGTTTGGATTAAGCTTTCTCCATCCCTTTGATAGCTTTGAACATGAATTCCCGATGGCCCTCTTTAGGGAGGGCTGTGTAATGTCTTGCTGCACATGAATGCAGAGTATCTCCTGGTCCGTGATGGTGCAGGGCCCTGGAGTAGACATCTCTACCATGCAGCGTTAGAGCTGGTGGGCCAGCGGCTCTGCAAGGCTGGGCTGCATCGGGCTTTGTGACGGTTCAGTCCCAGGACTCGGGCTCTTCCTGACATCTGGAAGAAACCTGGTAGCTGCTGCTGGCTGGCTGTGTCACTGCTCCCTTTGGGGCTGGCACATTCAGCGTCACTGGGCTGCAGCTTAGGATGAGCTGTGCCCTGGCCTCGAGGGGACGGTCACAGTGGTGGTGAGCTGTTAAATGCCAAGCACATCGGGCAGTAACAATAAACCACCTCAAACTGAAGTGGAAGAACTTGCTCTGAAATCGGGCTTTCCACTCTTGTTTTTACGCAAATCCTACAGCACATCATCTGACTATCCAAATTTACCTTGAACTTTTAGATAGCAAAGCTACCTGAGGGGCAGTGGTAGGAGGCAGGAAAGGAAGAGTTTCTTCCTCAACCCATCTGAATCAAAGCAGTTCTCCTAGCTCGACCTCACTGCTAGTATGTCTGAGGCCAGCGGCTAAGGAGCTTGCTCCTGGCACACTGCTCCTGTCCAGAAAGCAGGCAGAGAAACGTGTGTCCACGTGCTCTGCAGACAACTGCCTGCAAGAACTCCGGAGCATCAGGACCTGCTCCAGAGTTAGAATCTCTTGGTGACGCAGGAGAGCAGTGGGTACCTCAAACTTACTGTATTCTTTTTTTCCCCTGATCTAAACCAGACCTGTCTTAATTCCATGTGTTCTTTTGTTTCAGAGCGTACGGTGTTGTATCAATGTGCATTGGAACTGGCATGGGTGCTGCAGCAGTATTTGAATACCCAGGGAACTAAACTCCAGTGCACTGACAAAACAACGCAACAGCTAATTCTCTGCCTTCTCTAGTAATAGCAAATGATTTGCACTGTGAAATCAAGTGGATTCAGGGATTCGTTACTAGATCTACAAATTTTAGGCACAAATTGTGAAGTAGAGTAAATCATACAGATCTACTAAGCAGATGGGAAAATGCAAAACTGGCAAATGGCATCCTGACATGAGAAGAGATTAATTCAGTTGAAGCCCAACTACAGGCCCTTGGGTGGTGATTATGAAAGAATATTTCTAATTTAATTGATCCCTTTATTCTGTGAATATTATCAGAGAGAAGTAGTTCATGGTGCAGTATTTTTGTATGACAAATTGTCTAAAATGGTTGCTCAACATGAAAACAGCAGTGCACATGAAAAGGCTTTTCCAGGGTTTTCTTAAAAGATTTCACCATCTTGCACAAAGTGTAGAACAGCTTGTTTTGAAAGCAGTGCAAAGACTTAACATCATTTCCTTTACGACTCTGTCTGTCCTATCTAAGCCATAAGTTGTCTGTGTCTTAAACTGTCCCTAGGCTGGAGGATGTGCTTTAGCTTTCTACTTTTAACCAAGCTGCTCCGAAGCCTCCAGCGGGGGCAAGGGGAAGGACTAGAATGTAATTTACACAGGAGCAAACAAACTGTTGAGGTGCTGGAATAGAAAGGTTTTAATGATTTGCTAGAAGCCAGGAATTTGAAAGTGGCCATTCCATCTTTTACAACACATTTCTAATTATCAGCTTCTATGACTCTAACTTAGAGGACAAGCATATGCTTAGTAATATTTACTTACCTAACATAAAACAGATTTGAGCATTACTCTTACTGCAAGCACTACATGCACATCAGCAAAATGTAGGTTTTATCTTGTCAAATTCTCCCTTATCTGTTCTTCCTCTTACGAGCAGAAAAATGGCTGAAACTCAGAGCTAACTGCTTGAAAAATAAATGTACTCATCGTCTTTGACATGTTAGAAAAGTTTAAATTTGTGACACAGACTGAAGTTCTTTGTCCTGGCTCTTGTTTTTGCACTTAATACGGTTGGGTTCTTGCAATATATTTGTATTCTTTTTATGATGATTGTTAGTTGAAGGTCATGATTAGCTAGAGCTGTTTGATACTCTCACAGTCCTGTGCTGTAGCCTGTCTCACTCACCCAGCAATCACACGTGCTGTATTTTAGAGCAAAAAGATTAAGTTATTTAGAGGGGGCAGAGAGGCATTAGCATCTTCAAGGGTCCTTTTTGCACACTGAGGTTCCTGTGTATAAAATGAGTTCTCGGTGCTAGTACAAGTCTGTTTTAAACTAGGCAGAAGGCAGCTATCTTGCATCTTTTGTTCTCCTCCAGTGTGGATTGCAGCCCCTTTAACGCTGCCTTTAACAAAAACCTTTTATATGATGGGACTGGAAAACTTAACAGGCTCAGAAGTGGGAATTTCAGTGACCTTTAGCTAAAGTAATACTAAAAACATTTAAAGAGAAGTGTGAGTAAATGGGAACCATGTGGGGGGAAAGAATTAGAAGGAAGAAAGGTTCCTCCCTTATAGCTGAAGGGGATGTTCTCATACCCAAGCATGATGAAACATGCAGGTTGGTAATCTTCCAAGGAGCCCAGGGAAAGGTGGCTCTTCCCCTTTTCATGTAAGGCACTGAGAAAACAGCCAGGGGAATGCTGGCCTTATTCACTAATTCTTGCTTTTATTGTGTGTCAGTGTCCGTTTTAATGTCAAACAAATAAGCAAGGCAAAACAAAAGCTGCTTTTTAAGGTACGAACAGTCTTTAATTGTAATTTGAGGCATACGGTGATATGCAAAGGGTTTTGGCCTAACTGTTACCATAGCTGCTTTGCAATTTAAAACTGATTATTTTGCAGAGCCTGGTTCTGTGGGTAGTGGTAAGCTTATCCCAGCAATAAAAGTAATAGCACAGACTGAGATTATGACTGTTTTCTTTAAAGTACCATGAGCTTTTTTTCCTCATAACTTAAAATGTCATACTGCTAAAATTCCAGTCTGTATTAAAACAACTGAAGTAGATAAAAATACAGGCTCAACTGTTGGCACATCTGCATCCAACCCATTACCTTGACATTTGTCCCACATTGTCTTGCTTAAATTAAATACAGGTCTTCATACTTTCCATCGTATGTTCCTCGCCCCCTGATCTGTAGCTTGCAAGGCTCCTCTCCCAGCATTCCAGTAATGGTCACGATAGTTTCATATTCAGTGTCACTCCTAAAACACAGAGCAAAAAGACAGTTCAGTTACAGCTAGATACAATTCTGTGTTTAAGGATGAGATTAGTTACTTTGTGGAGGAAATAGGAGAGACATAAGCTGCTCCTAGTCACAAGCACTGGTCTCTGTCGTTAGTGTGGAGTCTGCGGGTGGCAATCTCACTTTATAGTGTCGTGTCCCACGGCTACATACAGGATGTTTGAAAGGAATGGTCCAGTCTGTATCTCAAGTGAAGACATTGATTATTAACTTCATGTTTGAAAGAACAACTTGAGTATCTTCCTACTTGTGAAATTCTGTTTTAGTTAAATAAATAAAATGAAACTCTGCTGGGGGCTAGGGTTTGGGAGCAAATGCCTGCACTGCTTTGATGTGAAAACTCATCCCCGTGACAGACAAAGTTTGAAAGGGAAAAGTTTCTGTTGACTCCCCCAAGACGAGGGGCAGTCAACGGAGTCCGGGTTGTACATGAACATCAAAAAGCTCACAGCAAGCGTAGTTTTGCGCTAAGTGTTAGTCTTGCAGCATAATTCGCCTAAGGCTAATGCTACCCAACACTCCTGAGACTGTTTATCTGAAGGACTTCTCTGCGTCTAAGAGATGGCTGTTGTAAAGGCCTGGGGCAAGAGCCTGTTCTGCCAGACAATTTTTACTTTTTCCTTCTCATACAAAATTCCTCTGTAGGAAGACCACTGATTTAGGGAGGTGAATTATTAAAATCACCTCACACCTTGCATATAATTATTTACTAATGCCATGCTGGTCCTGAGCTCGGCTGTGTTGGGAATTCTTTGTCTGGAGCTGAACAGACGAGCTGGCTGCTATACAGCAACATCTTTGCTTTCTGGTACTTTCAGGCACGCTGATTAGCATACCTGTTGTCAGACAAAAAGAAGCGCTTCAGGCATATTCAGAAGCACTCCAGAAGAATTTAGGCAGTCAGGAGCCTGGGGAGGGCTCTGGTCCACCATGCTGCTCAGAGCAGGGACAGCTTAGAGCAGCTGCTCAAGGCTTCGTCCCACAGAGATTTCAGTAGCTCCAAGTGATGGAGATCTCGCAGCGTGTTCCAGGGAGATCGAAGTTACGACAATAACTCACATCACCTGTAGTTTGCTTCTTGAAACTTCCCTGTCAGCAGTGTTCAGAGTTCACTGAAATCAGTGGGATAGACTTGTCTTAAACTTTCTGCCACCATGTGATAACTTCCAAGAAAATAATTTGTAATGGAAGCTGAATTTTCTACAGGAGTTTTATCTCCCTAATTAGAGCAAAGAAATTAAAAGCTTTGGTCACTACCTCTGCCATTCACAACTAATTCCTAGCCTTGACAAAGGTTACGATAAGATGTCTGTAAACATAATTAGAACAATATTAGATGTTTATAGGACAAAGAAAGTAATTTTCATCTGCTCTCTTCTGGTCATTGCTGTCATTTGCTGCAGCTCACGTTATCTTTGTTGTGCAGAAAACCTTTGGACTAGAGGCAACAAAAATACATCGATTTTTTTTTTCTTTCTCATCAAACATCAACATAACTGTTACACCAAACAGTGCACCAGGCTAAGCAAGGGTAAAACAAATTGTATCACTGCATTAGAACATTTTGCTCTGTTTGCTTCATCAGGAGGTACTCTGAATGTATGTAGGGAAGTAAAGGACTTCAAAAAGTTACTTTAGAGAAGCCACATAAACGATAATGAAGGATCCCTGAGACTGACTGCAAAAGACATTGCGCTTTCCTGCACGACAAGCAGATGCTTTACTGGGATTCTGAACTACTCCAGACACATTTCTCCCTCTGTCCTAATAAAGCGCTGCATGCATGAAGGACTCCACTGTTGTATCGGCCTCTGCACTGAATTACGGGCCTGAGATTTGCCCTCTGTTGAAGACACTGCCTTAAAGAAACGGGTTTTATCCAGTGGTACATAGTCAGTGTGTCATGCCAGCTGTTGGAACAGCATGATTTCCAGTGGGTAAATCTAAAGTCTGAATTCTGGGTGCCAATTGCAAAAGAAATCCCATATATGGGA